TATTTGGAACAAGTACACACTTGTTTCTCCAGAAGCAAGGGAAAAAGAAGAGTAGATAAACAGCAGGGATTACATAAAACTAAAACAGCTTCTGGAGAGCAAAAGAGACAATTATCAAAACAAAGAGACACTACTGAATGGGAGACAATAGTTGTATGCCAGATGACAAATAAGGGACTGATATCAAAGGTCTACAAAGAAGGTCTCTCTGGTCACCTAGGAGTTAAGTTTCAGCGTTAACACCACTACAGCCTGAATTATATCACTGGCCATGGAGCTATACCACATATGATTAAGCAGACCACTTCTGTTTTGCCTGCTGCTCCCCTCTTCTGTTTTGCCTGCTGTTTCAGTAAGCCTGCTTGTTCTGCTCCCCATTCTGTCTCTGATGAATTTTCAAACCCCACATCTGGCCTACATCTCATGTCTTACAAAATAAATATTGTTTTAAAATTATCAACAATGAACTCACAGAATTCAACAAAAACAAAAACCCCATAAAAAATGGTCAAAAGAATTAAAGAACATTTCGCAAAAGTAGAAATGGAAATGGTCAACAGGCAGATGAAAAAATGTTCAACATCATTAGTTTCTGACCCAGGCCTATTTACCCCTCCTTAGGGAACCTGGTGGTCCTGCACTCCTGGGAGGTCACCATATTGATGCCAAACTCAGTGTGTACACCTGATCGGCATAGTGCACTACAGCCCAGAATTCCTGGGCTCAAGTGATCCTCCAGCCTCAGCCTCCCTAGTAGCTGAGACAACAGGTAGGCGCCACCACACCTGGCAACATCAAATTAGTTATGAGGGAAATGCAAATCAAAACAACAATGAGTACTCAGTACAATAAGAATGGCCTACATTAAAGAAAAAAATGGCCATAATAAATGCTGGAGAAGTGGTGAAGATAAAGAGACCACCTTGCATAGCTAATGGGAATGTAAACTGCTCCATCCACTGTGGAAAGGGAGGTGGAGGGTCCTCAGAACACTAAATATGAATCTACCAAATAATGCAACAATTCCATTCCTAGGAATCTACCCAAAGGCCACAAAAGCACTAACGAAAGAAAACTTTAACACCTGTGTTTATTACAGCACTATTCACGATAGCCAAGATATGCAAACAACCCAAATGCCCCACCTCCACAAATGAATGGATCAAAAAGTTGAGGTATATTTGTAGAATGGGCTATTATTCAGCTATTAAAAAAGAGAAAAACTCATGCCATTGGCAGCAATGTAGATGGAGCTGGAAGGGATTATGCTAGCTGAAATTAGTCAGAATGAAAATGATACTAGATGGTCGATTCATATGTGGAATTCAGAGAAACCAAACAAAAGGTCAAGGAAATATCAAAACTAGCAAGCTGACCACAGACCTAAGGCATTCAGCAAAGGAGGGGTAGAAGGGGGCAAGACACAGTAAGGATGAACACAAGGGAATATGGTGATGGCTCACAGGTGATATGGTAGCAGGAGATCTATGGGGACTACAATGATGTAAGAATAAATATTAGTTACTAAAAAAAACGAACCTGGTGACTGTTCATTAAGCTACTAGTAATTGGGACAGAAATTATGTGCATCTCTAAAGAAAGATATCTATGTGTAAAAGGATAACTTTACAAACTCTAGATAATTTAATTACTTTTGAACAGTGATAGGTGCTAAGCACTTTCTCCTGTCTAATCCTTGGGTGGTCTTTGCCCTCAGATGTTGAAAGGATATTCTTCAAAACATTTTGCCTCAGAGTTTTGTATCTTTTACACATTTATTGACCTTTAAATTTCCTTACTTTATGAATTTTCAATTCATTCAGTTTTTCCTTTGACTGACTCTATCTGAATAGGGCAAAAAAATGTATATGTCTATAGTTATAAATGGTGAATTTTCTTATTTTTACACATTTTTTGCTACATTCAAATAACATTTTGGATGGAATCCTATGTTTGTATGGAAGGAAAGCATTCGAGACACATTCTCTTCATCTATTTATTTCTATTTAGACTTGGTATCTCTTCTAATCACTTAACCTTCATTTTATGAATCTTGTTATTCATTTGTTTTTGCTGCTCATAATTGTTCTTTGAACACATAAGGAGTTGCATCTATAAGTTTTATAATTGTTCTAAAATAAATTGAGAATTTTTAAATTAGAAAATATTGTTTTCTTATTAGGGATTCTTCTGGATCATATAATAAACTATACAGAATATAAAATAAAATGACAAATCATAACTTTTTTATAATAAAAATTGCACATATTTTCTCTCTCTCTCAGAATCCTCTGAGACCATTTCCTTCACCTGATGATCTCAGTCTGAGAATCCCAGAATGCTAATGCAGCATTGGCTATAATTTGTAATAAACCCAATTAGGCTCCTCTCTCAAAATGGCATTGGTTTATATAGTGCCTTGTCCTGCTTGGCGTGGGTTGGTTGAAAGGATGTGGGCAATGCTTATGGACAAGGAAAATTTAGAGTATGGAAATTCTCTGATTTCCTAACAATGCTGTGATAAGATCTGTTGCTAAAATAGGTAGGTGGTGGTGATAAAGAGGGGTGTGAAGGTTTGTGGACTCTATTCTCCCATACAGGAATCTTTTTCTTCGATTTCCATGCTAACAGAGAAAAGGGAGGTAATAGGTGGCCAGGAGCAAATATTATAAAGGAAGGAAGTTTGGCCATGGTATAGAGAATGGCACATGAAAGAAATTTAAGTAATGGTAATATATTATGGTGATGATGAACTGTAGGTATTTGTCCTTTTTGCCCATGTGTAGACCCTCCATTAAAACTTTATATTATGTCTTTTTATATTATCCTTTAAGCAAGTCTTCCTTTCTGCAACTACTAATATTGGATGATTTCCAATTTTTTTTTTTTTATTTTAGCTGTAATCTTTCTTGTCTGGTGATTATTACAGCTATTTAAGAGTAAATTGTCCCCTTACTTTTGCTTGATCTTTTTTTTAAAAAAAAAAGATTTGTTTATTATGCATACAAGAACTGGGGTACAGGCCAGAGATACAGGGGATGTAAAGATTCACCAGACACAAAGTGGGGAGCAGAACAGCAGATCTACTGGAGCAGCAGGTGGGACAGGGGAGTTCTGCCAGGCCATGTGGGTTAGCTCCCTGGCTGGGGATCTAACCCACACTGTAGTGGCTGCAGATAGCTCCACAGTGCTGCACTTTAATTCCTTGTGACACCAGGGAGGCCCCTTTAGCTGACTCTCTTCTCGGCCAAAGAACCTAGTGTATTTTGTTTCTTCTCCACTCCTATCAGTAACCACCTGTCTCCCTTTCCCATAAGTTGTAGCAGTAATATTTGTTTAAGTCTATTACTATGACATTCTGGGTCAGTTAATGTATGTCTGTGTTAAAAGTAAATGTTTAGCCTCTTGAGTAAAGTGGGATTATTTTTTCCCAGGTTTTTTGAGATGTAATCAATATATAACATTGGATAAGTCTATTCAATTACCTTGGAATACATATTTAAAGTTCCTGTTTGTAATAACTGTTTTGTTTCATGAACAAATAGCCACACTTGGATTATGTAGTCAAACCAGCATTGGATTTGGAATAAGAAGGTCTGATTTTGGTCTGAGACAAGTAACTATTTCTAGGTCTGTTATCAACATCTCTGGACCTTAGACTCCTCATTTACAAATGGAAATCATCTTATTATGAGACATATATACCAATTAGGTAATTATATAAATAAAGAAAATTATGAAATTACTTAGAAATATGGGTGATATAATGTTGTATAATTGTTTAGGTCAAAAAATCTACCAGACTTAAAATATGTTGAAAGCCTACTTTATTTTCTTTGACTTTAAGAATGACATGAAATACAATTATTAATTATGTTTTAAAGCTTCGAAAATAAAAACTTATGAAGTTTCATTTTATGTTGGTTCCTGTTGGAACTATTGGTCCTTTCTGTTCTTTCCTTTCCTTCCTGTAAACTTTACTTTAGCAGCTTTTGCCCCCTCCTGTGTATATTCCACCCTCATATTTTTTCAACTTCACCTTTTAGCAGCATAGTTAGTACTGCGGGAGCAGGGAGACATAGGTTTGTTGGGACTACATGGAACGGAAATATATCTTCTGTATGGTAACAGTATATTCCCTGAAAACAAAACAAAACAAAACAAAACAAAACAAAACAAAACAAAACAAAACAAAAAAGGTAATAACTACAAAGATCCATGTGATCACCCAAAATTAGGGTTAAGAAATACTCAGACTTGGCATTGGATCCCACATACTTGGGATGTCTAAAAAAGAGAGAAGAGATAAAACTGATAGAAGAATTTAAGGGAGTTGAGGAGATAGGATAGGTCAGTGGTTATATGACAACTGGCCTTATCAACTGGCCAATTTCCAGTAGTTAAAAATCAAAGTTCTGAAATATCTGATGTGATTGGGAACAATTTGGACAAATTAAATAAATTGACTTTTTTATTTTTTTCCTTCCCAATCAATGTCCCTGTTCCCTGATTTGCACATCATGACCATGTCCTGGTTGCTAACCATCCTATAAGTTATTATCACTCATATTTATGTGAGAATCAGTGTAAATACCCAGTGCCATCAATATTTATTCTATCAATATTTATTCTTTCTCCTTGTCCTATGCTTGAGCTATTCCTAAGCCCTTTACCAGATTCTCTTGTGTTCACCTCTATCCTGTACCTGGATTTTGTACA